AAACGATTAATCGATTAATCGAAATTATTAATCGATTTTAGAATCGATTCTGGGTTGAGAATCGATTCCTATCCCTATTCCAGAGGTTGTTATGATGTTTCTAATTAATTATATTTCACAGTTTACCAGGTTAGACTTCTTTCATAAATCAGAATTGGTAAAATACGAAAGTATCCATTATTTAAAACATCAATCTTGTATAAAATAAAAATATTGCTATATTTAGTTCAAGAAACAACACCCTCCTTTAATTTAATAACTCGTAATGATAATATTACCTAAATTTGGTATTTTCTAAATAAAGCCATAGAGGACATAAATTTTTTCATTGAAAAGAGAGACACAAGAAAATAGTACATGTATAATTTAAATTTAGTTCATCACCATCTAATAAACGATACAATTATTTAATATAAAGTTTGGCACTTTTAGTTATCTCATAAGGTTCGAAATAGCTTTGCCAAAAAATATTATATTGAAGCAAGAAAAGAATATTAATTTATAATAGCAACAACAGTAAATAAACAGTCTAATGAGAATGGCGGCGAGATAGTGAAACGAATTTAAAATATAATGTACATGTAGCAGGTATTACATGTACGTAAAGGAATACATATTGTTTGTTATTTTGTGAGCATTGACGTTAATAATACATGTACTGTACTATTACTTTTCACATGATTTGTTTTGAATTTCAAAAACTTCATATTCATCTACTTTAAACCTATATTTGTTGCCTGAAGCTGAATCATCCCATATATCTTGAGTGTTATATAAAGAATATTGATACCAGCTCGACTGATTTTGATCACATTTGTCGCCGATAAATAAATCATTATAAAAATAGGGACCAACATTATAAGCGTATGCTATTTGACGTTCTGCGCTGCTGCTGCGTGAAATTTTTGCGTTTTGAAGATTTTTATTATCAAAGGAAAATATAAATGCAGAAGACGCATCAAGATATTCATAATCATTAATTCTTCTCCAATGGTTTCCATCCCTTAACGGAAAATTTTCACCCCAATTGGTAGGATTATAGCCGCCTATTATTTTTGAAGTTTGGTTTATTTTCACAAATATCACCGTCCCTTTTCGAGTTCCACAAAGCTTACGGAAGTTTGTGGCCTCAAAACCATCACGGCTACCACGATAAAGGAGTTTGAATTTATATCGCGAATTGTGAGATTCGTTGGAGTTATTTTTTTTATCAATCCATGAAGAAATTAATTTAGTGTGTTTAAAATTAATAATGGCAGAGTCAATTGAGCCTGATCGTGGAGGTAAAACTTTAATAGGTTGTGGAGTCAAATCTTTAATATGATAACTCAAAATTTCCGTTTTCATATCCTTCGGGATGATTTTCCGATAGGGCATTATTTTTTCGAAATAATCATTGCCTGAGATATCACTATATCGAATCAATGGAATACACTGATGAAGAGTCTTTTCGAGAGCGACAAAATTTTCAGAATTCCATTCCGTTACAGGTTTCTCAGGTAAGTTTAAAGTGTTTCCCTTACCCCATTTGATGATTGAATTCCAGATTTCAATTTCATCCATACCTAGATCATCGCGTTTAAGCATAGACACGAGTATTGATTTTTCCAGAGATAAAAAATCATTAGCTTCGAAGATCATATGAGGTTGTTCGCTGATTATTTTAAGACAATGCTCGTTTAATTCCTTGAATAATTCGTGAAGAGAAACGGTATGCATAATCTTTACGAGATTTTGCTCAACCCAAGTGGACTTTTCTGTAATTAGATTATCTTGTGCATTGTGAATTAATTCATGGATTTCTAGTTCATCTGCGGCAATGAGTAAACTCAAAATATCATCTCCGCTTTCTTCATTGAGATCGATTATGCTAGTATATAAATATCTATACATGCACATGTATATTGATACATTAATTGGTTATAGCATAAGATGAAAATAAAATTATACACGTACTTAAGTATAAGCTCAAAAATTCGCGGTGATATATATGGTTTCTTAAAAATCATTATTTCACCCTCCTTCTTTGCCCAATCTTTTGATAACGCACGACGAAAATACGGAGAACGTGCACGCAGAATAAGAGAGTGCGCTTTAAATGTTTTCGTATTTTTATTTTCGCCAACAATGATACTAATATTATATTCGTCCGAGTTTTCTAAAAGCTCGGTCAAATCTTTTATAAGATTTTTTGTATATTCAGGCATGATTTTTGTACGTTTGTAAAAATTAAAAAAAAATCAATATATATGTACAACTTGTACATGCAACATGTGAAAGAAGCATTTAAGTATGCCTAATTGACCAATCAAATAACAGATATAAAACCGGACATTTGGAATTAACGTTAATGTTAATCAAAGCGAGTGCATGCAACATGTGAAAGAAGCATTTAAGTATGCCTAATTGACCAATCAAATAACAGATATAAAACCGGACATTTGGAATTAACGTTAATGTTAATCAAAGCGAGTGCATGTGTATGGCAGAATCAACTTAGTCAAACAGGTAACGATCGGTGGATATATTCGTTGTACTGTGATTGATTAGTTGATGATCATCGAAAAATTCACTCTCTTACTATTA